AGATTTATTTTCTGCCCTAGAATTTGGGAGGTATGACAGCATTTTAATCAAAACCACTCAGAACTTTGACAAGCCTGAGAGAATTGCAACTATTACTGATATACTATCAACACACAATGATCAGCAATTCCCAAGTGATTTCCAGGAGAGCTATTTCTTTCTGCAGGGAGAAACACTGCTTTTGAAACCAGAGAGAGGGAAAGAGGGTTTAATATTTTGGTTAGAGAATTTTTTTTTTTGTTGGTCGTGGGGCTTGAACTCTGGGCTTGAGTGCTATACCTGCACTCTTCAGCTCAAGGCGAGTGCTCTACCGCTTGAACCACAGTGCCACTTCTAGTTTTCTAGTGGTTTGTTGGAGATAAGAGTCTCAAGGACTTTTCTGCCCGGGCTGGCTTTGAACCGCAATCCTCACCTCCTTAGTAGCTAGGATTACCAGCGTGAGCCACCGCCGCCCGGCTGGTCAGAGTATTTTTAAATGGCAGAGGAAAACATTGAACTCCTTTAAGTCATTGAATATATTTCAGGAGAACAGAATTGAAATTAAGTTAAGGTTATTGTCTAGTGAAAATATTAGGTTACTCAAAAGTAAATCCAACATAAATATCTAAAACCAAGAAGAATGGGGAATTTAGCATTTATTCATCTATGTGAGAAGCTAGGCCTCACCGTATGATTAGAAGATCTCATATGAGAATCACTGTGGTACCATAGTAATGAAACAAAATATTTTGACTATATTTGATGAAACCCCAATGTTAGTAGCCAGTGTCATGAGCCTGTGCACTTTGGTTCTCTTGTTTCCTAAGCAAATCTAGAGCTTGGGAGACAGGGTGATTTTGGAAACCTCTAAGACACACTCTACCTCTAAAACTGGACCTATTTGGAAAAATACAATATTTAGTAGAATTATTGTGCACATTTCTGGCATTTGTTTTATTATAAATAGGTGCTATGAACTTTTATGTGTAGGTTCTATGAAACAGAGAAAGGAATGGTTTGTTTAGAAAGTCTATGACAATCAAAAATATCTTGAGCTTGTCACTAGACTTTCATATATATTTATGATTTGCCTTTCCTTGCTTTTTTAATGTCTAGTTATCCATGTGTTTCTCAGGATGGAGAGAGAAATAAATACCTTTGGGGGATATTGAAATATTGCAACCTGTATTACTGTGGTGTGATGTTAGTTTTTCCAGACCGATCACCTCACCGATCACCATCACATTAGAACCATTCATGGGACATACTGGAACCTGGCAGTTGAGCTTGTAGTACTAAAAGGGAATTTGTGTCCTGAGAATCTTAGAACCTATAATCACTTACCCTTTCTTCTTCCCAACCATCAAACAGTGTTAATGGGGTGAACTCAAATTTCCCTTACTTTTGCTTCCATTTAAATTTTTTTTTCTTTTTTGGCAGGCTTGAACTCAGAGACTCATGTTCTTTTTTTGGCCAGTCCTGAGGCTTGAACTCAGGGCCTGGGCACTGTCCTTGAGCTTCTTTTGCTGAAGGTTAGCACTCTACCAATTGAGCCACAGCACCACTAGTAATAATTAGTATATGTCTAGGATAGTCCTAGCAGAGGATCACAATAGTTCAATAGCTATGTACATATGACTATATAAAGTGATGCTAATTGAAATGAACTCCAAGATATGGAAACAAGAGTTGTTTTTTTTTAAATTCATGTACTGTGTGAAGTTATTTCTTTTTGGTTTATCACCTGTTGCCACAGTTGGTTTTTGTTTTGTTTTTGTTTTTGTACCCTGTGTCTTATACATACCTTTTTTCTAACTTAGGGAAGGGAAGGGGAATAACCAAATGGTGAGAAGGGCAAAGGGTGAACCAAAGCAACAGTGGTACTCACAAGATACTATGTTGGAAAAAAAAAAACAACTTTGTAACTTGGAGGGTGGAGTGGAGGGGAGTAAGAGAGAGGGAAAGTGGGAGAAAATGAGGGAGGGGTAAAATTATTTTAATTATGTAACTGACCCATCTGTACATCACCTTTGCAATAAAATAAAATATTAAAAAGAGTTAGTTTTATCTGTTTAAAATGCTCTCTATCTGTTTATATACCACATTTTCAGTGGATGCTTTGGAATGAAGATTTGGACTTGTTCTGTTGTAATTCTGCCTTAAAACTCAAGAATTCACTCCCTTTGAATGAATTGACATCCATAATACCTTAGATGTTTAAGTACATATGCAGTATCATATCATCATTTATGCAAGTGGAAGATTTCCAAGAGGGAAATATAGTGATTGAAGATAGTCACTCAATTCATAAATAAGACAATTATACTATTCAATGGCCTTTTTCAAGTATCACCCAAATTTCTTTGCATAGAGTCCTTTCCATTGTGTGAAATATCACAGCCAGAAAGGTAGAGCAATATAGGAACAATAAAGATATGCTGTAGATTGTGAAGAAAGGAGAAAACAATTAATTTTTGTTACTTTAATAGAATATGGTTGAACAAATTTTCATTTGGATGGTCTTTAGCTAATGGCTATTTTTCTTGACAAGAAAGCTGGAATTACAAAACTGTAAATCAGGCCATCTGTAATCAGATTTCAGGGATCTGTAAATCACTTATTCATTTGCTGGTGTAAAAGCAGATTAGTTAAATCAAGAATTTTTTACTCCTTTGTGCTGTATGTTTCCCATTTTTTGAAAAGTCAGTAAAGCAACACATTCCCATTTCATTAAGCTAAAATATGAAGACATATCTATAGCAAATATCTTGTTTCCTTTACTTTATATTTCTATATATAAATATATAGATGAGGAATTCTCAAGATTTATTTCCATTTCCATGTGGGCATCATTGTATCCTATTAATGTTGACAGTGGTTTTCTGCAAATCATTGTGAAAACAGGCATGCTATGTTCACAGCAGGAATGAGCTTAATTGTTATATTTATGAATTAAAGATGAACATTTTATATGTAAAAAAAATTGGCTTTTTAATTCTCTTTCCGCCCCCAGTACTGGGTATTAAACCCAGGGCTTCCTAGCAAGTGCTCTACTAGCTTGGACTATTTCCCTAACTTAGCTTGCTGCTTTCACAATTTGAAATCACAAAATAAGAATTGGGTTCATTTAAGCACTTCCCAGATTTAAAAATATTCCACATGCGTGATGAATTTCTTTTTTTATTTAATAAGTTTTTTTTTTATTGTGAGAATACTGTACAGAGGAGGGGTTACAGTTACATGAGTACAGTAATGAGTACATTTCTTATTAAGCATTGTTGTCTCCTCCTTTGTTTTCCCCCTACCATCCCTTACATCTCATCTCCACAACTATACTCTCCCCTGCACCCCAACATAGTGTCTTGTACATCCCATTGTTGCAATGAGTCAACCTGTATCCCTATTTAAAAATCTGTTTTTTTTCCCTTCCCCTCCCCAAATTATACCAACATCAAATACAGTGAAAACAGGGGTTATACCATAGGGGAGGGCCATACAAAGCAACAAAAAAAATCACATGGCACCTTACAAATACATTAGAAGCAATAGCAAGAAAGAAAAAAACTACTTGGTCCTTATCTTGAGGTTCATTTTGCTTAACATCATCTTATCTGACCTTTTCTACTTGTCTCATATATATAATAGTTATTGCAAATAAGGGGAGCCATGGGATTTTTTTTTTTTTGGTTGGTCCTGGGGCCTGAACTCTAGGCCTGGGCACTGTCCCTCAACTCTTCAGCTCAAGGATAGTGCTCTACCACTTGAGCCACAATACCACTTCTGGCCTTTTCTGCTTATGTGGTGCTGAGGAATTGAACCCTGGGCCTCATGCATGCCAGGCAAGCACTCTACCACTGAGCCACCTTCCCAATCCCATGCATGATGAATTTCAAGTCAAGGTTTTCATGCAACAGTAACTTTACTAGGGGCTCCATACATTTGCCTCTTGAATGCAGTGTCATCTTGGATTATGCTTTTTTGTGTGTTTCTAAGGCCAAATAACATGAACCTCTAAGGAGTTTCTGTGGCATTAGTATTAACTATGGAATTAAGTTCCGGAGGGATTCTGTTACCATGTACTTTTAACCACACCTGAAATATATTCCTGGATGCTGAATAACTTGCAACTATGCTTCACTCTGGCTTACTTGTATATTTAATTTCAGTGAAGGAGAATTACTATCAAGTTCTTCCATAAAAATGGCATGATATAGTTCTCTATCTGGAACCCTCTTTTTGACAAAATGTTATCAAATCTTGCTATCAAGAGTTTGGGAACAAAACAGAAATTGAGTTTGATGCTGATTCTTTGCTTCTAGCATCTATCTGATCCATGAAGAATTGAAAACAAGAATCAATGTCAATGCTATTGACAATAGCCTACCCAAAAGTTTGAAAAGAAAAAAAACTAAATTTGGGTCTCTGTGACAGCCAAAATTGAGTAAAAATTCACCATACATTTAACTATGAAGTCCTGCTATGGCTGGTTTCTGAATGTTGTAGTTAACACCTGTAGATTTCTCAGAACAAATGTTGCTCTTGAAATTTGAACAATTAATTGGAAAAAATGAAGATAACAAGGTATTTGACACTTGTTTATTCTGTACTGTTAATAATCCTGGTAAATTATCTTGCTTGTGGATTATATTGCAAAAAAATGCCTAGTGTGGGAGACAAATAAAAGAATGCACAAAATGAGAAAAGAGGGGTAACTGTCTTCAAGATGCTTAAAGTTGAAAGTGCTCACTGGTGTATATAACCCTTCAATCTCATGATCTAGAAGTTTCTCTAATTCTGCTTAATACTGTTCAGTTGTTCAAAACTGTTTGCAGGTTCAATAAATAGTATCTGCTCTTGTTTTTCTGGGAAGTCTTTTTCTTTCTTCCTTCCTTTTTTTTTTTTTTTTAATAACAGACTAAGCAATCACTTAATCTGATTGAACAAATCAAGCCAGAAAAATCCTGACAGTGTACTGAACAAGACCTGTGTGGATAATGTGAGTTCTTTCTTTTCAATTTTAGAATCAACCTTGTCCTATGTTAGGCAGCTGGAGGCAAGAGTAAGACAGCTGGAAGAAGAAAATCGCATGCTACCCCAGGTGGGTGACTTCCAGAAGCTCATAGCTAGTCAGTGCCATTGGAGTTGAGCTTTCTTATTTGAAATGTAAAGTCTCAATTATGTGTTTTCCTTTCAATGGTAGACATCATTTTGTAAGTAGCCATTCATCATGTAGAGTATGTTAATGTTTCACGATGGTCATCCTATTATCCAGATTTCCAGTGGGTACACTGGAGGATGTAAGTGTCCAAAATAAGCATGTGGACTAATTATAAGAGGAGAATGGGAAATAATGACACTTTAGTAATACTTCCCATATACATCATGCATGCAGTCAGTAGAGATAGGGGAGGGATTTACTTAAAAAATGCTAATTTATGAGCCAGGTAAAGTTGGAGGAAGTTTGGAGTTTTCATATTTTAATTAGTACTTTCTAAAATTCTTTGTGACAAAATTGAGCTCTTTTAGTGCAACAAAGTATTGACAGTAACTGACAGTTTTTACTTTGGGACTTTATTTCTTTTTTCCCCTGGTGAATATATATGGAACACTTTCTCTGGGATATTTAATACTTTGTCATATATTTCACTTACACAATTGTTTCTGTAGGATGGTAGGTTGGGGGAGAATCATGTTTCTGAGATGATGGTTTTCCAAAATGTTTTGTGGAGGGCTTGAATATATCTACTGATTCTAGGGTTAGTTTCCTTAATAAATGTGAAGACATAAAATTTATTTTGATATCTGTGAGTTTTCTAAATCTTCTTTTCTTTTCACTTTAGGGTGGCTAGTTTTTATTTTATAAGTTACTAAGGGAAAATATATCTCATATCTAGTAAACAGGAAGAGAGGTTGTAAATACTTTTAAAATTCATTTTTAAAAACTAATTTTGATCATTCATGATTATTTTGGCTGCCATGTACTACATATAAAAATACTTTCTTGCTGGGTGTCAGTAGCTCACGCCTATAATCCTAGCTACTCAGGAGGCTAGATCTGAGGATCATGGTTCAAAGCCAGCCCAGGCAGGAAACTCCATGAGACTCTTATCTCCAATAAAACACTCAGAAAACCGGAAGTAGCTCTGTGGCTCAAGTGGTAAAGTGCTCATCTTGAGCTGAAGAGCTGAGAGACAGTGCCCAGGCTTAGAGTTCAAGCCCCACCACCAACTGACAAAAGAAAAAGAAGTACTTTCTCTCCTATCGAATAGCCAACTATTTGCCTAGAAATCATGGAATTAATAAAATGAATCTCCTCTTTCTCAATTTATTATATAAATGTAGGTATATATGTAAACTTATGATGAGGAAAAAGATTGTTTATGTTATTAAATAGGATACTAATACAGAGTTTTCTTTCTTACCTTTTCCCCTTTTTCTTTTTCTATTTTTTAAGTTGTTTTTTCTCTTTATGTTGGATTCTTGCTATGGTTTTATAGGACTCTTGATATAAGACATGGCTGTCTATTTTTTTAGGCAGCAAGGAGTATCAAAGAAAAGAAACGAGAAAAAGCTTATAAACAATACACTAATTTCTCTAAGATTTGAGGGTTGTATCAACCATTGAAATGTAGCATGTATGTCATTTTATTAAAAACAGATGCCCAACAGATAGGAAAAGGACAAGTTTGATTTTTAAAGATTTGTAGCATTGTTAAAATTGTGGAAGGAAACCTGAATAGCCCTCAGCTGTATTGACATTATCTATTTAAGACAGTACTATAATGCTTGCAAAGTTAAAACTAGAAGAGATCAAATAGTGATTATCAAGTTCAACTGGTCAATGGTATTCTTTTAACCACATTGCTATTTTTCTGTCAGTTTTTTTTTGTTTAGTTTTTCCCTTCCAGAAATGGCAAAGAAAGGTTGTGAAATGCCATGATTGTATATATCATTTCAAAAGAGAAAAGATATCAATATACCATGTTGGATTCTTGCTTATATCAGAGATATTAAAAATGGAGAAAATGTTTTAGATTTAATTAAACATGCATTTATATTATCAATGTAACTTAGTGCAAAAGAAATTCACTATTTGAAATATGCTATTAGGCTATAGAAATACTGTAATAGGTCTCAGTTTTCAAAGAATATTTGCTAAATTTTTAATAATACAATAAGTTGACTATTGTCTTCATTTACAGCTAAGATAGATATGATAGCATGACTATTCACAACTACTTTTATAAGTTCAAACTAACATGAACATCAACATAATGAGATCCTAGGATTAAACCCAGTAAAGAGATCTCAGAGCAATGAGAATCATTTAATGGACACCCATATGACAGACTGAGATTTGGCCTGGAAAATACAAGTCATGTACAACTTATTCAGAGATTATTTGTACTATTACAAAGAAGGTCTGATGAGTTTTCCCTGTAGAGACTATTTCTGACTGTTCAGTGTTAGTTACAAGGTCAATTCAGTGCTACATGCTGACATTCCTGAATAAATTAGTCTCAGTATTTGAACACTTGATTTTCAATTATGAGAGATTGCTCACTGTGCCTTGATTAGAAAGTTTTTTGGTTCTTTTAAAATCCCAAATCTTTAGAAGTGTGTCAGTTTCCCCCAGAATATAATTAGCAATTTGAATAGTAAGTATATCAGGTATTTTTATTTTGTTTTTTTTAAAATTTTTTTTATTGTGAAAATACCGTACAGAGGGGTTACAATTACATGGGCAAAGTAATGAGTACATTTCTTATCAAGCATTGCTGCCTCCTTCTTTGTTTACCCTTCCTGTCTCCCGCACCCCTCCCCCCTTCTCCCACTATGCCAAAGTTGAAAAGTTCGTTTTTCAACATAACGTCTTGTACATGTCATTGTTGCAATGGGTCCACCTGTATCCCTATTTAAACAATTTCTTTTTTCCCTTCCCCTCCACAAATTATACCAACATTTTTTTTTAGTATTAGTTATCTTTTGTGGCCAGTTCCAGGTTCTCTGCTGATAGTAAAAGCAATTTTTGAGGAAGGTATCTCTTCTCAGAATCCTTGTATTGTGTATAATAATGAGAAGGCACAACCTTGTCTTAGCAGCATACATATTTAAAAATAAACCAGGTGGAATGGGTGCTTTTTGTTTCTTTCTGGTCAGGGGAAATTGTTCAATTGTAGATGACGCTCTTTTCAGCTCTTGTAGTTTGTGCTCCCAGGTGTAAATAATGGCTTTCTGTCTTGCATCCTTCAGAACAGTGGTAAAGGTTGAGCTGATTCTCCCCAGTGGTAAGAGGGGCCCATGGAAGTGTGGTGGGATTTCAGTGTCCCAGAATGGCCAGGCCCTCTCACAGTAAGAACAGCTTTGTTATTTTTAGAAATGGCAGTATTATTGGCTGGGTATTTTATTTCACAAGAAATACCTCTTTTAAAAGTTGATAAAAAATAAAGATCTCCTTCCTCGAGGAAATAAACAGATGTGAACTTTTTTTTTTTTTTTTGTCGGTCCTGGGCCTGAACTCTGGGCCTGTGTACTGTCTGTCCCTCAGCTCTTCAGCTCAAGGCTAGTGCTCTACCACTTGAGCCACAGTGCCACTTCTGGCTTTTTCTGCTTATGTGGTGCCCAGGAATCGAACCCAGGGACTCATGCATGCAGGGCAAGCACTCTACCACTGAGCCACCTTCCCAGCCCGATGTGAACATTTTTTAATGACCACATTTAAAAATATTTAAGAAGGTAGCATATAATCCCATTTTTCTACAGTACTCAAACTGGTCTATTTCACTACTCAAATACTTGAGGTGATGTGAACCCCAAATGAAGATCACATGTTATTCCAATATAGGTAACTGCTATCTATGGTGTTACCAACTTTGATTCCAAAAATATAGAATCACCCACAATAACATAAATGCCACTTATAAAAAACAGATTCTATATGGTATAATGTTTTAGTTCTGATACATTTTATATATACTTGTTTTTTTTAATATACTTAAGTATAAACACAAATTTTTCTGGATACAAAGTTACGGATTTTCTTCAGAGCTGAGTAGAATCTTACAGATCTGATAGCACAACCCCTTTTCTAGTGAAAGCATATATCAGGTTCACAGAGGTTAGGGGTATTAAAGTGGTTGACAGCTAATTAAGGTTGGACTCCCACCAAGATATAACCTGAGCTGATGTTCTTTTAGCATTATGCACAGTGCCTTCTGCAATCATTTAATACCATTAATGCAATTCAGTGTCATAAGCTACTAAAGCTATTTTTAACTTGTCAAATTCATTTCTTTCAACATTTATTGTAAAGTTGTATGTATGTATCAATCTAAGATTCGTTAAGCATTCATTCTGTTCATGCCTAATGCTGGACTTTTTTTTTTTTCATTTGTGATCAATACCATTGCTGTTTTTCTTGAGATAATGGTGTCTATCACAAATGATAGGGCCATGTTATTCCTTCCTGACACTTTCTAAAATAATACTTCAGAATCATAAAGTTGTCTTGCACACTCACAGATATTCACATCTACATGGAAAATTCACATGTAGCAGAACATGGTCATAGAGAAGGCTTTCTGTTCAGAGTGAACTGTAGGTGGGAGGGAGACTGATAGAGCAGAGCTTTTCATATTGAATTTTGAAGATTGAGATGTGATTGGTTAGTCCACATACAATTCCTTGGTTAGATCTCTCTGCTCATTGCATTGTGTTTTGCTTGATGTCATAGGGATTTATTAATCCAGATAGAGCTAATGTTTACATACTCTACATGGAGTGAAGAATTCTATTTAATTAAAAAAATTCTTTCAATTTTGGATGATGTATTATTATAAAAAATAGTGGTACCCTTTGAAGACTTTAGTTACCATTGAGATATATGCCTGAAGTAAGTCAGTAATCACGTTTAAACTCATCGCACCTATTCCACATTTATTTTTGGGTTTTGCATCATGAACAGGGCAGGAGACATGAAGCAAACTGTTTGCTGCTGGTCCAGAGTCAATTAAGAACATTTATGAAGAGTCCTACTGGGAAATCTATTCCTTTTGATCAAATGCTCTGGCAGCAACATCTGCTTGGCAAACACAATGT